AATTTTTTATTGGCGTCTGACACTTCACCAGCACCAATTTCTGGTTTCCATGATAATGTCACACATGACTTGATTTCATTGTTAACTGAGGATCACGATCTCGGTTCTGCCGTTCCGCTAAAGCAGTGAGTGTTCACCCCCTCTTAGTGTTATTCTATCCCCTAATAAATATCACTATGTAAGATTTATATGATTGAAAGAACCAAAACAATATAGTAAATACATACCGATACTTGAATCATATATGTTCGCCTCTTCCTTCTGGTAAGTTCTTGCTGGAATGCTATTACATTAGCAAACTTTTCCTGCAGTTCATCTATCTTTTAAATTCTTGTCGCAACTTATCAATAATGAAGCCATAAAGTAATAGAGTAATAAAAGAAAATTCTAATCATAACACTATTTACTTGCACCTCGATCCAATTAAATTTATTAATCTTGATACAGATTGAAGTGCTTTAAACAGGGGAACAATTCTTTCTGCGGTATAAGTTCGCTCTCCATAAAATAACTAATTTAAAGCTAATGTTAAGTAAATATATTATACCAAGAAAACATAGAAGATACTGATTAAAATAATATACTCACACGTCAGAAAGTATAATTTCACAGACTTGACGAAATTTGTGAAAATCTTCGTATTAAGCGGAGCTGTGATAACCACTTTGAATCAGTATTGGCCGATTTCATAAGCCATTTTTCATATGACTTTGGTCATAAGTCATACGAAATTTATAATAAAATTGATGTCATATGTTTGCTGCTTGAATTCATCCTTTTAAAGAATTTTAGTATAATATACTTGAATTAACAACTAGAAGAAAATTTATGCTAACTTACTGAAAACACGTTATAAGCCAATCATAGAAGTTTAATATTACAATCGTAAACAATTGTAATTAGTAAAGGTAATAAAAAAATGCGAAATATCTAATTAATTAAAAAGGACACATCCTACTTATATCATTAAAATTTATTAAAGTTCTTTTACTATATAATATTTCAAAATTAACAGAAACTCAGCTAAGAAAAGAGTAAAGGATTTCAGAGATCGGGAAATCGCGTTTCGTTAAAAATTATCCTAGGTTTGTTTTGTTAATCACATGAATCACAAGAATCAATTAATCAAATTAATCAGGATAGAAAAATTCAAAACAAATGCAAATAAACATAAAAACTGAAAAATAACGCGTTTATTAATTCCCCCCCCCCCCCCGGGGGGGTGGGGGAGGGACCAATCAGCGGCAAGATATTCCATTGTCCAATCAAAACATCGGGGAAAAGTATTACTTGTACGCGCAAAATCCTGTGAAACACGTGTTTATTTAATGACGCGTATTAATTAATGGTGTATCGTATCAAGCAGTTCCACTGCAAACACATTAATTCTTTAATGACGCGTACTAATTAACGTCAACGGCAATCTTTCCCCAGCGTAGCCAGCAAAATTCGGTATCACCCTATGGTAATATCTGACAACTGCCTGTAACTTTTTAGTTTGAAAATTAACTACCTTGAAATATTCAGCATTGTAAAATATAAATCTAGATTCTATGAATTTTTATAATTTTATAATTTCCATAACAAAATTTAAATGTGAGCTGAATTTTAAAAATATTAATTAAAATACAATAAAAAAATAATTATAAAATAAAGTTTAAATTAAAATTTTTAAAATTTTTAAAACTTAGTATATTAAAATTTATAGAAATAACAAGATAGTTGTTGAGAAATTAAATACTAGATTTTATTATATATGTATATAATTTAAAATTTAATTTTCAACAACTGGCTTATTAAATTATGTCAAATTTTTGTTAGCATAAAATACTTAAATTAAATTTTTAATATAGGTCTACTGTACTATTAATATTACCAGTTTGGCCAAATTGCCTGTTTAGTAATGACACTAAATAGTATTACACGACGTATTCCGACAATTCATATGCCCAAAAACGTATCGAATCTCGAACTAACATTATTCATGAATTTCGGGATTTCGTGTATATGGGATGACGTTATTTCGTCCATTCGGATGCCGTTGATACGAAATACACTTTGATTGAATATAAACTGATTTTGAAATAAAGATTCGATTCGTGTAAATTGCATTTGAGTGGGATTTGTTTTTGCTTTTATTCGTAGAAATGCTTTTTTGCGATTTGGTATCCTCATTAAGTTCTTTTATTTTTTTGACTTTCTTATTCATCTGTTTTAGGATATCAGTTTCCATTTATTGTCTGCTTACTGGCGGCGAATAGAGTAAATAAAGTCATGAAGTTCCCAAGCAATTGGTCTGTTTTCTGAATAATAAATTTGCACACCCGAGAATATTATTTGCTACTCTTTTATAGATGTCTAATACGAGATTTCTATCATGATGACACTGTTCACCAATGGTCGTGGACCGGTTACAATTTCGACCATTCAAAAGCTATAAATATTGGCAGCTTTAGTATATGGCTTTCCCATTCAGCATCTCTGGACTCATATAAGGAAGTATGCCACAAATTTCTTTATTAGATTAATTAAACCATCGATAATCAAGTCAATTTTTCGTAGTTGCAGAGTTCATAATCCATTAATATTAATTAAGCAATTGTTATTCCATAATACATTATATGACCATAAATCACCACATTTTAGAGGAAAAATTTGATTGTATAAAAGGTTCATAAAAATAATGTAATGGTCCATCCAACCAGGCTGCTTTATAGATTGACTCAAAATCCAGATATTTAACGTTGGTAAATTTTTCAAAAGGAATCCATTCGAATTATCCATTATAAATTTTGTTGAATTCTTTTTTCATTCAGTTGTAAAACTCAATCAAAAGAGTCATTACAATCATGAATATTGTAAACTAAAACTCATCGCGGTATTCATCTTTCGACAATCAGTCAATACGTTCATTACAATTATGAGTGTTTGGTTCCATCTTTGAATTCACTTTATAAAATGCATTTATATCATATAGGTATTTTCTATCAAGATCGGGAAGGCATTACGAACTATAAACACTATAATGATAATATATAGTATGGATCGTGATAAATTTCTTATATCAAGCTTAATCATTTTTTAAATGCATTAAATAGGTTCCAAGAATGAATTCTTTTATTCTCTCTTGCTTACCTTCTGAAATACATCTACACAAAAATCACTCGTGAACAATTTGCGTAAATTTAAAATGAATGACAATTTTTCTATCTGAGCTATAATCTCGGTTGACCTTAATAAAATAATTTTCCTAAATCTGAGTGATTGTTCCCAGTTAGAGGTAATTATTAATTTACCAACTAATCTCACTAGCTAAATACTTTCGCCGAACTACTTTTCATAAAATTTTGATTAGGAAGTTTATCAATATGATCAAAAGAAATAGATCGCTTGATTTGATATAATAATGGATTATTTTTTTTAAATTATGAAGTTAATACGACGATGCTTTTATATCGCAACCCAAAATTTATCTTCCAGGTGATACATATGTTTGAGCGTCACCGTATCAATACATTGGAGTAAATTCTTACGATCTTAATCATAGACTGTTCTAGATTAGCTTTGAGGGTGTCTTTAATATTTTGTTCAATAACTTCGGATCGTAACCATATAGACAACCAGAAGCACCTGTCCACTGAATATCTCAAAGGATTAATTCCGAATACGTAAATCTATTCTGGATCGGAGGAAACAGTCGAACTTTTTTCCATACGTCTGTGTGATCTAGGTATCTGAACGTGAAATATAAGGCTCATATTTACCATTAAAATATAAATAAGCTAGTTACAAGTAAAATTCTAGGCTGTATTCTCGTTACAATACCCGCAAAATCAACAGTTTCCATAAATTTATCACAACTTTCTCTTCAGCTTGATGGACGGATATTTAGGATGAAGCGGGAACATTCAGTATATATAAGCTTATAAATATGTTCGGCAGTCTTCCGGGATGCCCTTCTCCTCTTTGTCAGCACTAGCAATACTTTGTTTCTATTAATATCCTACTTGCGGGCTAATAGGATGCCTAAACTGTTACGTTCACTTTTTTCATAATCAATATTTGTCCCATAATCATTCGATTGTTAATAAAACTTATTTTAGAAAATTCAATAACTAACCTGAGCAAGAATCTTGAGAAGTTTATTTTGGATTGACGTACTTTGAGAATCTATATTTAGTGGAGAATTAATAGCCTTAAACTCTGAAATACGTTGGCACTCGATGAGAAGATTCGTGTAATCCTTGCACTGGTGGAATCATAAGATTTTTTCATGTCCTGGAACACGCAAAAGAGCCATTTTTCTTTTACTAAGCGTCTTCTAGAATACTGTTAATGAGGTGTAGAGGAGTAGCTGTGGAAGTATCGTTCAAAACAGAGAAATTAAGGATTACTAATATGTATTTTTTATAAAAGCCATACACGTCGATTCCGTTATCACCTGGGAAACGACTGTATCATCTTTGAATAAATTAAGTAATTGCTAATGTTATGAAAACTGAATACTTGGTGGCCGTCTCTGAAGAACTCAATTTACGCTCCCGGCTCACCACAGCCCTTGGATGAAAGTCGTTTTAATAATAAAACAGATAGAGAAGGATGTTCACTCTGGTTTTCGACTAGAAGCCTCTTTATGACCCGAAGCGTTTCCAGTTCTTTATTGCCTTATTATCTAGTGGCAGCATAACTTTAGGAACATAGTAACTAACAAGTATTTTATTGTTCTCGATTCTTTTGAAACCAAGAGTTTATCCTCTATAACCTAAAACTACTTTCTGTGCTTTAACAAAATACTCTTTGTGAAATTTTATATATACTGTTATAATTTGTACTTTAATTATAGTTCTAGAAACTGTCTCATACACTACCCTCGGAAAAGTATTCGGTCAACCAAAATAATATTTTATTTATTTGAGATTTTCGATATAAACATAACATTTAATATTCAGTAGGCCATCCTTGGCTCCTAATGCATGCTTCGATTCTATGTGGCATGCTTTCTATAAGTTTAATATAGGTTTCAGATGGAATTCTTCTTGCAATATTTCCTCAAGTTCACGAGAATTTCTTGGATGCACAGTACGTTTACTACGTCTTTGTTTGAGTTCATGCCATAAATGCTCTTTGGAATCTTTAAAAGACGAGCAATAGCTTCATGTGTTCTTCCAGCTATCCGTAAACCGATTATTTTTCCACGTTCAAACTCATTTAATTCGTGACTTTTTCCCATATCGAACGGCGCAGTTTTAAAAAAAGAGGAATGTTTACGTTTTTGTTTATTAAAGGTGATCTACGCAACAGGGGGAAACGTCAAAGATTACACAAATTAACATGTGATCGACAGCTCGCATATTAAATAATTATACATAGCGATAGTAGAGATATATACGATTATAATTAATTGGTGATCCGCCAATAGATGGAAACGTTACAGCAGGGAAGATCCTTATATCTTAGTCCAAACTTCGAAAATTTGTCCATATATGAAATCCTTTCTAGTCACGCGAAATTAACAAATAAGATTGGAAAAAAAAGCAAAAATACCCTGAAAATATACATGCCAAAAAAAATACAAAGTTTCTAACTAGATAAATGACTTTTAAAGAACGAAAATGCTGATTTGAGGTATAAATATCTATTGCATCTTATGACATTGCTTTTTAGAATGCGACTAGCAACTCTTTTTTTTTATTTCTTTCAAATTACACTTGAACTGCAGTTAACAAAAAGTATTTTTGCAGCTTTTTTGACATCTTACTTTTACCATTCTGAATATATGTTTATTTATATTATGGTACGCAATCTTTTTCTATCCTTTTTTCTATCATTTTCATTGGTTTTCATTCGACTGATATCCATGATCATGACCAGAATCATCATTATAAGTTTGACTAGTTCCCCCACCTTCATATCCTTGAGTCATCCTATTATTATTATCTTGCTGGTCTTCTATAATCTGTATGCTAATCTCTCTTTGCTCCCAACTATTTTGTAAGCTACTTCCTTCACCAAAATTGCCATCTTTATCAGCAGCCACCTCTCATCTCAAACCTGCTGCATAAGCTGCAATCCAATTATCAACTCACTTTATACTTGATACCTCTTCTATGGTAATTTCATTTTCTACTGCTAGTATTTCTAATTCCTTTACCATTTCCATGGCTGTCATGCAGTTTGTTTTGTCTATGTCACCTGTCAAAAAAAATCCTTCAAGATAATATCTAACTTTTTGTGTTATATGCTTACCCACATCATGTTTTTCTAATTTTTGATTGCTTTTTAAAGCCCATCCTGACAGTAAAGGGAATGTTGTATCAACCAGATTATTAGTCAAAAATTCTCTGTTTTCTGAAAGTATAGCAATATTAGTAAAAACTTTGAGCAATTGATAACTGGTTTCTAATTTACCTGCCACATTTTGTATCAAATCTAAATAAACCAATTAATCTTGGTCAAAATTTTAGATTTACAAAAATTATGTGCATATTATCATAATACCTTTTTCATGTGTGATTGGAATTATTCAAGCTTTTTGTGGATGAGAATAAGCTAATACCTCAGGTTCTGGCTTATGGATAGATTTTTCTATTAGCTTCATAATTTCTAATGATGTATATATTTTCCATTTTCCAATATTAGGAAGCATTCTGGCTTTTATAAATCTCACAAGATCATCTTCTATTAGTCATTACCAATAGAAGTAATTCGTAATTTCTTTCATCATTTTAACTGGCACGTAATCTCTCTTTGGTTCAAGGTGTACCACAGTGATTCTCACTAGATTCTGTATCACTTCCATAATCTTCTCACCAGCATTCAGATTATAATCAATCTGTACGTATCATGTAATAGTATGTGATATTTATAGGTATAGTGATTAGTTAATATTTATACTTGTAATAATTATTTCATTGATTGACTTACTACAGTATGATGCAAGTCCACCAATAACTTTATCTCACCAGGCTTAAAAAAGTATCAATCATGAACTTCAATAAAGTATTATTGATATCAATTGGTAATTACTACCATCATTTCTGAGTTATGGTAATATCCTCTATTGTCTGAAAAGATTTTGATCCGCTCTCACTTCTGCAATGGCACTATTTCCTTTGATAAATACAAGAATAGAATATAATACGTATTCTCTTTTCCCAAAAAATTAACTTTTTGTTTCTTGTATTCTCTTTTCTAGGATTTTTATCTTATAATCTGCTATTATTAGAGTATCTTTTTCATCTAGTTTAGCCAATTCAGCTTTGAATTAATGGTTTAGATAAGCTTTTCATGCCTGATATGCAAGAAAATAAGTGAGTTTTTCTTCGTAGTCTGCTATTTCCTGATGATAGTTATTGGATAGTACTTGTAGTAATTATTTAAATAAAATAAAAAATTCATCACATTTTGTATACTGAGTATAGTGCATCTTGGAATATTCACTAAATGCATATAATAAATAATGATTGATACATTGTGAATAATTAATGATTCTATCAGGATGTATAATAAGTTTTAACTCAAACTTTTTGCGCATATGATGGTATAATAATTTAATATTACTAATTAACTTATTCTAAAAAAAAATTAGAATCGAATGTTTATATATAGTATGTAATTTTTAATTTTTATATACCTGGTATTTTAATTCTTGAATATTGGATTTAACTAGCTGAATCAACCTATCAAAAACTTCATATCCATATTCATTACATATATTATATAGTCCTCCAAGATCTTTTCAATATATGTAATAGCCATCAGCAAGATATGCTATAAAAGATATTCTCTTGATTCCATCAGGATAAGTTGCTTTAAACTTTTCCCAAAGTGCTTTCTTATTATCTTTGAGATAAAGTATTGGTAAACCTGTTTTGGCTTTAACTTTATAGGAACTTATTATTACATTTTCCTTGTCCATAAAAAAAGATTCAAATTATGCATCTTGGATCTTGGAAATATGTGATCATGTAATCTTGGGTTTTTCAATTGCTATACAATCAGGACCATTTATCCTAGCATACTATTTGGCTACATATATGAGGTTGTTTGATATTTTTAAATTTTCACATAGCTCTTTTAGTCTAAAATCTTTGACAATTATGGAAAGTATATGTTGCTTTTCATCTAATCTATTTTTATTTTTTTCGATAGATTTTGTTATACTTTTCTAAAACTGTATTGCTGAATCAGATACTGAACTTGTATCAGGAATGATGTTTAGCAAATCAAAATTATATAAGTTCATAAGTATTTCTTGATCAGCTCCTGGATTGAAAGCACGAGTCCAAAATTCTAGTTGTATATTATAAAGATATGATTAATAATATCTTTTGATATATTAATGAAACATTAATATTTATTTACTATTGATTTATATTTATTAAAGGGGGTAATATCAGTATATCTAACGTTTTGCAACATAACATGCCATGCTTGAAGTATTCACTCATTAAAATCATAATCAATTGAATATATATGTGACAAAAATGATCTGAATTTGATAATATTACTCTTTTGAATTTTCCAATTGGTAAAAAATTAATACCAATCAATTTTTAAAGTTGCTATTTGTCCATACAAGTGATATTGATATGCTTTCTTCATTATCTCAGAATTATTCCAATCTTATACAGTGTATTTTTCTGATTGAACCGCTTCTTGTACTTGAGAATCTTTTAAATCAAACAAAGTAGTACCATCATAATCTTGAAGAATAGTCATCTATTGCCAAACTTCATTGGGTGTTGATCCAATATATAAATACAATTGTTGTTACTGATAGTATACTATAATCATATAGCAATCATTATCAATTGCTTGAATAATCAAGTGTTGCTTCTTGCTAATCATGTATAAGAAACTCATAAGATATTCAGATCCTGCAATATTATTATGAACAGAACCTATATTAATAATTAAAATGTTGATGTTATTATATTGAATATAAAATGGAATAAATGATACATCTTCCAACAATTCATTAATAATATCTTCATTATCAAACTCCAGAACAGAGAGTCCTGAAAAATATGTTTTTCCTGGAAAAAACTTGATATAAGAAGTTATTATTATGATGGAAAAAGAATCGTAAACTTTACTACTACTATCAGATTCACATATAAATTCTGGCTTAAAATCCACACACTCTTTTTGAACTATACATATTATAAATTCTTGAAAATTTAATTCAATATGAACATGATAATTAATATGATAAGGTATACACTTGGCTCTTTTTTTGAAAAACACTACCAATTTGAAGAAAAAGAATCATAATAAAGACTATTTATTATATTATCATGAGCTAAAAGTTGGACCATATTTCTAATACTATAGGTGATAGAGATTTTGAAGTTTGTAATATTTATTATAATTTTTTTTCTGCATTTACTTAATCGATAAATCTTATTTATTGATGAATTACTAATTAATGTTAAATAATAAATACAGGACATCTTAGCGTATAATTAATATTAAATAATAAATGCAGGATACCTTAGCACACAATATAACCTTGTTCTTTATTACAAAAATGAAGAAGAAACAATCAAAGATGAATAAAAAGTATTTGAGTAGTTTTTGAAAATAGCAAAATCAGGATATCTTAACGTGTATAATACAGTCTTGCTCTATATTATGAAAATAAAAAAGGAATAATCAAAGATGAACAAAACTGATAAAATATAATTCGCAATTTAAAAATTATGAATATTTATTTACAAATTCAAGAATGTTAATTTTACATATTTTAATAACTCTTCTACATCAACTGCATTACCTATTATTTTGTCTGCAGTACCTGAATTATCTTCATCTTCATCCTTATTTCTATCATCAAATATTCTAATATTAACAATATTATTAGTCATACTTACTATTAGTACATCAACATTTTTTTTGATTTCACTTTAAAGATAATCTAAACAAATAGAATATTTAAAGTGAGATTTTTATAAGCAATGATTATGATAATTATATCCATACACCAAAATGGAGCTATTGAACAAATCGTAGGTTCTATCACAATATAATAAGTCACATAAAAAAGATACATTAGATTTTTTAGAAGTAACAAAATCTCTTGAAAGGTAACGATCCATTATTTTATAGCCTAATAAAGGTAATTCATATGTATTAATACTATCATTACTTGTAGATTTAATGACAGGATATTTATCACAATTCTGATATACTTTTGCAAATATTTTCAAAAGTAATATGGAATATTTT